GCTTGCTCGCACCCCAGCTGGGGCGTTCAGCCACGTGCTGCAGCGGGAAGCTCCTTCTCCGAGCTAATCGGGAAAAAAAGACCTCATCTGTGTCTCTCTGCGTCTGTACATATGTGTGTGTGTGTGTATATGGCTGTATCTATAGCTGTATGGATGTGCGTGTGCATATAAATACGTTTATGTATACATTTGTTTATTACCCAGGCACACGTGTGTGATGCAGAGGTTGAAGCACAAAGGGTTCCTGCTTCTCTCTGTCTTTGCCAGGGAGATGGAGAGGTGAAACTCGCCGTGCTATGGTGAAAGTGACTCTATGCGTGTGCTTCTTACAGGTGCACCTGTTTGAGCACTGCCATCCAGGTGCCTTACAATCGCCCAGCTCGAAGGACCTGTGATGAGTTTGAAATTTGGACCGTCGGGGATTATCTGAAGGACTCCATGTATGAGATGTTTGCACCCTCTTGAGCTTCCCTCTGTCCCACTGTGGCACCTTGCTCCTCTGGTTAAACCTGTTGGTCAGGTACTGTTAAAAAACATCCAAGTGTTGCAAGATGAAAACCCCTAATCCGGAAGAGGCAGGACCAATCAGTATTGGAGCAGAGTGCCTTTTGGAACAAACTCTATTTAAGTTCTCTCTGATCTTAAATGTGTAGGACTCTGGGCAGCACAGATTATTGCATCTCATAAAGCCCTACATCTTCAGTACTTAGCATTCATGTCACTGTCCCCTTCATGGCTGATGCTAAAAGAAAAAATGTCTCCCCATAGAGCTCCATGTCATTTGGGAACATGATTTCACCCCACATTACAATCTAGTAGACTTTTAATGGTCTAGAAGAGAGTGAGGGATTTTCTAAGTTTTAGAGTTATCTCCACACTGACTAGCTCTCAGCTTGCAGCATGGGAAGATGGACAGATTTCTTTATAAGCAGTGACCCCAAAACTGTTCGCAGGTAGGACAGCTCTGCCTGCATGGGTCAGCCTGTCTTGGCCTTTTCATCATATTTTAATTACTGTTTTGGTTAAAAAGAGGATAATATTATATATTAAGTCAACAGAGATACTGTTGGGTTAGGATTAAATAACATTTGCTGCAGGGAAAGCATAAAAGATTCCTGGAGTACTAAGTGTTGTTACTGCAAATACAAGTTTAAAAAAATCGTGGGAAAAAAGTATGCAATACGGTTTCTTTACTGCATAAAACTTATGGATCCTTCTGAAATGGATTTTGGCCCTGAAAACGCAACACAAAGTGGAACATATAACTAGAGATTTAAAAACTGCTGGGAGTTATGAGATCATAATTTGTAGTTAAGAGACTGTTGGTAACCTCGGGTGTCAGAAAACTTTAGTTAGAATTAGATTTCTTGTACTCGTGATGGTTTCCTGCAGCATCCTCTCCATAAAATGTGTTAAAAGCTGTGTTTTTCCTCCTATATATGATTATGCCAAATTTTATTTACATAGATAAGTAAATACTAGATATATCAAGGGAATGTCCAAAATTGGCATCTCATTTTAAAACCATCATGTTCTCTGCCCGCAATGACTCAAATTCAGGGTTGTCTCAGCTCAGGTTCTTCAAGACTGGATGTTACAAACCAAGAGTCTTTCTCTTTTTTGTGAATGTTAACTTTTTTTTTTGTTCATCCTTTCACAAATTCAATACAGCTACCTGTGTGATTTAACTGCAGTACCCTTTCTTTCACTGTTTTGTAACTTATCTTTAGGACTGAGCAAACTACATGTACGTTTACTGCAGGTACACGTGGTAAACACAACTGTTTATACACCATGAACTGCATGATTTGGGCTTTATTAAGGGATAAAATTTGAATTTAATGCAATTTTACATGACTTAGTGGGACACTGAAAGTAAAGAATATGAATGAAAATGTGCAAATATACAGGGAAAAAAAAAATATTTCAGATATGCTTCTTCTCAGCTTCCATACCTCTGCTTATGGATAGCTAGGAAATGTTCTCAACCATTGTGCCTTTAAAGAATACAGGCAGAGGGCTACACATTTCTTTACACATATTCATGTCGTTTGAAATGTTTTTAATAATGTTATAACTTTTTATATTAAAATGTATTTAGAGCCTTTTACGTTTTATTCAGTAGCTATTGTAGTCTAGGGCTGAGTGCTCAAGGATCAGACTTGAGTACTTAACGTCTCTCCAAATCTTCTATGAAATGCCTGTGGGAACCTGGACAAATCACTTGCAAAACCAGCACATTCCTCAGGTTTCATGTAACTATTCTAACATGAAGCAATGTGAGACTGTTTGCCAGGTGCTCTGTGCTGTGCCTTGATGACGATGACAATTCTGTGTTCTTCTTTGTTTTTGAATTAACTGTGACATTTGTCATGCGTTTGAGGTTGTTGCCTTAAAATTAGACACTTGAAAGCAGAGATTTACATAACTAAATAAAGAACTTCTCTCCTTGCTCTAGAAAAAGTTCCTGAATTAATACAATTTCAATGCCTTTTCATTTCCCATTCCAGACCTTTATTTACGCTGACAATTCCAGAATGAGTGGAGCAGGAACATGTGGTCTTTTGCATATGTGCATATTATTTATGACCATTGTGCGGAGTTTGCTAATGGCTTTTTTGTGGTTTAAAAGGAGTGAGTTGCTTCTTTAAAAGAATAGTGTCATGACCTGATTGTATTTTTTCATAAAAAATACTTACACATATTCTTTTCTTCCTTCAGTTTTGCTTTACAAAGCAAGTTTCTTCAGAAGACGAAGAAGGGATTTCATTTCCAAAGAGCATATGCCAATTCACTCGTCACATCAAGAACAACTGTTAGTTGTCCTCAAGTTCTTCACCAGAACATGTCACCACGCAGCTGTACACTCCCTGTGACTGCCATGTCCTGCAAAAGGGAATCTAACTAGTTCCTGCCCTGCTTGGAGATGCGTTTTTCCGTGCTTCCATTTGCCAGTTGAAAGGTGTTTCTTCACAAGTGTACTGTGAAACAAACACAAGCTTGAGGTGCTCTTTCAGAGAAGCAAATGGTTTGTGCCAGCCATGTTGCTAACTGAAGGGGTTTCTCAGTCCTCTGACTCCGTGGGCCTTTGTTAGTAGTCACACTGGGAATTGTTGACCTCCAACGTTAATGTTGAGCGTGTTGTGTTTTAAGGTTTTGAGGAAAATGCAGAGACGGCACAGCAGCAACACTGACAACGTTCCTCCTGAAAGGTAAATATTTCCTTCTCTTTTCCTCCATTTTCCTCTCCAGAGAAGAATGTTGCAATTTAAGTGTATGGTATGTTTTAGAAGATGAAAGCTCAAATTTGATAAAGGCATTTACTTCCTGTGCATGTGGTGTGGCCAGGCTTTCTGCTCGAGTTTAGAGGATTTGGAAACAGATTTACTTTTCTCCTTCATGTCAGTTATTGACTGCTACCAACTACAGTGTTTCAGGTTTCATGATCCAGTATGGCACATATGGAGGCAGTTGGCTTAGCATAGGCAGGACGTTTTGGAGCTCTAGAAGAGCGATCCCTGGCACAGTCCTGTGGGGATCCTGAGCACTCTCAATCTGAAAGGACCAATCTGTGTGAACAGAGGCTATTTATACTTCAGTTGCTAAGGTATTCAAAAAGTCTGCTGGTCTGAAGCTGCAAACTGACTATGACTTAGTGTTTTATAAAGATTTTGCATGATCTTTTACATCATCCCAGAATCTGTATCTAGCTTCATGTATGTGAATATTTAGATGTAATTCTAAGTGTAACTAATTCTAATGTAACTAATTCATTGCTGTAATTATAACATCAGCAAGGGAGGCTTGCCACTGTTGTTGTTCTGGTACTAAGTATTCCCTTGTGCTTTCCCAGGGTTAGAGCTTGACTTTTCTTTTTTTTTTTTCCTCTGAAGAAGAAACTAATCTAATTACTCTAAGACAAAGTGAAATATCGTGATCACAAGCAGTCACTAAGTATTTCTTAGTGATTTTACAGGTAGAGATGAAGCTTGACGTCATGACCACTTCTAGCATGGCACCATTCTTAATTTCAGGGGAAAAGAAAGCCATTTTCAACTTTTCCTGCATGATGCTGCCCAGGCCTCAGTGCAGTCTGTGGGTTTTATATCAGCAGGCAAGCCTGGGGCTTGAGAGGCACATGAGATGTTGTATGGGCCCTCTCATCTGCAATGTAGAGCTCTCTTGAGTCTGTACAAATATGTAAGACACTTTGGGATCCGTGTAAATGGTTAACAAATATTCAGGATAGGTGTCTGTCGTTGACTGCAAAAGGTAAGCTGAGTAATGTCAACTGGTTTTTATAAATGCTTCTTTTTTTTAACAGGTAAATACATTGTCAGCAACATAGACTGAAGGTTTTCTAACTGTAGAAAGAAATGCTGTTGCCTCTGGTCTTCACTTCTCTTAACTTCAGCAGACTCAGAATTTCATCTTTGTATATTTGTTTTTAAGTATGTCCCTGATTAATTTTTTTTGAAAGCATACTCATGTATCCCAGTAGTATTGATCCAAACAATACTTAGGTCTTTATCTGTAACACTGGGTTCTACCCAAGTTGGGTTTTAAGTTCCCAAACGTAAGTACTGTCATGTTATGTCCCTGTCTTGTGTGTACGTCCCTGAATTGTAATGTTAGGTGTAAAATCCAGGATCTTGTTGACGAATATTTTGAACCAAAAAGAGGTGTGCCATATCTTGTTGACTTGATTCCCTGCTAGAGGAGCCTGTGGAGAGACATTGGGAATGGGGTGTGGCCATAAAAAGCCTTATTAGAAGTTTACTGAGTGGGAAGGTGTGCCCAGAGAGGTTTGAAGCTGTCTCCAGAGTGAGTTGAAAGGCAGTGCTCTGTGCCCTGTAAGATGCCTGGGGAGGCTTTTGAACCCGTGAGAGAGAGAGGGTTAAGGGCCATGTATGTGCCTGCGTGCTGTCTCAGCTTGTGACCACTATTTCTAAAGTTAGAGATCTCCAAGGATGAAAATCAAGAGAGCTCTGCAACATGCCTTATTTGTGGGCTTTGCCTCTCGCCGAGCTTTATTTATTCTTTACTCTCCTTTTGCAAGTCAGAGAGGTATTTGCTGTCTGCCGAGCGTTTTCTGCGTAATGATTGTTCTACTTGTTACCTGGATTGTTCCCTGTCATCTGAACTTTGCATGTAGTCATTTCAGTACCACAGTACCGAGTTCAGGCAAAGAAAGCTTGCTTTCTTTTGGTATCAGGATGAAGATATTTAAGACTTCCTGTTTGGAATCTGGCTATAATCCAGCAAGCTCAGGAAAGAATCAGTGCCAGGTCTAATTCTGTCCAGTGCCCAGTAATTTGGGTATGTCCATGCCCAATTTGCTGAGAATATAAAAATAAAACAATTTCTCCTGACCCAGGAGCACGTCTTTCACTTATAATATTTGTTGGGCCAGGGACACACAAGCAGCTCTCAACACTTCTCTTCCACAGTTGACTCTGTCTCTTGTTTGTGTTATTCATCAGTGGGCAAGTAGCGATCATCCCTAAATAAAGACAGAAGATTTTGAGGATAGGTCATTTTTTTCAGTTAGCTTGATTAATTTGCTTGTGCATAATGTGACCTGTCTTGGTTGCGCTGTGTGAAGTTATATGGGTTTTTACATGTTTTTCTTTAAATGTTAAAATCATTATAGAAGATGTTGAGTTTGGTACTGGATGTGTTATTTCTTTGGTTCCTTTGATTCCTCCAAAAGTAAAGGGGGTGTTTGGGAACTCTGTTCCATATATGAAGGAACTGGTGCATTTTGATCAGTTCTTTAGAAGTACTCCGATCTTATCTTAGGAGTCTGGTTACTGGCCTCTAGTTCTGCAACTGGGGCTTTCCAACAGCAAACAGAAGGAAACGCATCTGTCATCTGGAGACCTTTGTGTTCTGATAGTGTGTGTGGAACTCTTAAATGGGCTATAAGACTGACAAGTTCTGTGGCACTCATTTTTGTTTCATCACTTTTCTCTAATCTCCATCCACTGCAGAAACCGGAGCCAAACAGTCAGTTCTGAAACCAGCGTGGATGAAAGTGGAGTTTTTGAAAGTCTGAAGGCTGAAGCTTCCTCACCACAACAGCTGTTCTCAGGCCTGGCAGGTATCCCGTCGGGCACCATCACAGCCACGCCGTTCCAGTCAGGTTTGGTTCTGGGCTCTTCAGCAGGAGGTGGGGAAGTATTCATTCAGATGCCAGCCCCGAGGGAGGAGGGGACCAGTCGTACAGAAGGAGCCCCGTTTCACCACCGGCAATCGTCCCATCATTTCCACCATGGCCATCACCGGGGTTCGTCTCTACTGCACATGGCAGGAGGAGACCGCCACGGGCACGCTGAGGAAGGCAGTGACGAACAGGCTGGGACTCCAGCCCCAGCTCTTTCAGAGTTAAAAGCTGTGATCGGTTGGCTGCAGAAGGGACTTCCCTTCATATTGATCCTCCTGGCCAAAGTTTGTTTCCAGCATAAGCTTGGTAAGCATCTATCCTTTTTGGATTTTTAGTATATTATAGGCTGGTTTGGAAGCTTTATCATGCTGTGGAGTCTGATATATTTATCCACGTGACAGTATCTAGAGGTAGTCTAGAATGAAGGGGGCATACTCAAATGCATGGGATAGTGCATTTGATAAATTCACCCTTCTTTCAGTCCAAGCTGTTCTCATCTGTGTCGGTCCCTTCTGTTTCCTGCCCTGACCTGTGGGAGATCAATTCTGTTCCTTTTCCTAATCTCTCCTTCATATTCCTGTAGGGGCTGAGGATGTGACCAAGGCTTCTCTCTCACACCTCTCTCTAAGAGAGATGGGGAGAGCTTGCACTAGTGATTAGCAAAGGCTTCTGTGTAGCACAGAAGGGGTCAGAGGCATGAGACACTTGTATGGGTGTAAAGGTTGGTAAAATCAAGCAGTTATGTACAGTCGAGAGCTTCAGAGTTCCCTAAAGAATATGTCTATCCAGGTTTCTTTAATGGTACCTGAGTATTTCAGCCCCTCGGTGGTCGTGTAAAATTTATTAATCCAATCCTCCTCTTACTACAAAATTGTATGCGTGGCATGGCTGAGGATCCTTACTCATTCTGGGAGTAGTATGCTGAGATTATCGTCTCAGGAAAGCCAGAAATGCTTGAGTTTAGTCCACTTACAGCTCTGCCAGTATTCCCAAAACCACGTATTGATTAATATCTGCAACATCTTGCTCTTTGGACTCAGTTTCCTATATGGTTTTGGTAGTGGGCCCTGTGCCCTGTCCTCCATGAGCTGCTGAGCTGCTATTGTAATGCTGTCACGTAGCTGAGCTCCGTTTGCACAATGCAGCTGCAACTTGCAGCACTTCTGTTCTCCTTCAGCACAGAACCTGACATTAGGACAGCGAGTTGGGCTGAGTGGCAAGAGCTCACTGCAGTAGCTTCATTTTCATATAGAGTCCAGACTACCCTGTTTCAGTCGGCTATATATTTTCATTCTCAGTGCATCCAGAATATCACCCAGTAAATTTTTTCCTAAGCTTGGGATGCTGACATCAAGTAGCTTAGGACTGAAGATCCTCCTGCCCAGCCTTGTATACTTAGGCCGTGTCTTTCCCTGCAGGGATTGCTGTGTGCATTGGTATGGCCAGCACGTTCGCGTACGCCAACTCAACGCTCCGAGAACAGGTAGCTCTGAAGGTGAGTACAGCATCACACTCTCTGATGTTCCCAAGCATCATTGCTCTTTGTGTACAAAACAATGTCTGTGTTGAACCTTCTTTTGCACTGTAGGGATGAATGCCATTATATTAATAGAGAATAATGAATACTGTGCCGTAATCCTCATTTCCTCTTCCTACTTCTCCCCATTGATGCTCTACAACAGTTTCCATCCTGCTCTTTTGTGAAAGTGTGGTGAGGTAAAACAAAGAGAGGAAAAGTCAGGGAGATGGTAATCTGCTTCTGGCTCTGCCGCTGACTGGCAGCGCATCTTCTCTGCACCTTATCTTCCTGTTATGTACAGCAGAGGTGCTGAAACCTATTTCACTAGTCAATGATGAGATTTAATTTATCAGCATTTAGATAATGTTTTGAGATGTTCAGCTGAAGGATTTTGTAGATCATAGAATCATAGAGTCATAGAATGGTTTGGGTTGAAAGGGACCTCAAAGATCATCTAGTTCCAACCCCCCTGCCACGGGCAGGGACACCTTCCCCTACACCAGATTGCTCGAAGCCTCATCCAACCTGGCCTTGAACACCTCCAGGGATGGGCAGCCACAACTTCTCTGGGCAACCTGTTGCAGTACCTCACCACTCTCAAAGTGAAGAATTTCTTACTTATATCTAATCTAAATGTGCCCTCTTTCAGTTTAAAGCCTTTGCCCCTTGTCTTGTCACTACACACCCTTGTAAAAAGTCCCTCTCCAGCTTTCCTGTAGGCCCCCTTTAAGTACTGGAAGGCTAAGATGTATTAGATGTGTTAGATGTGAAGACGTGTTGCTCATTAGTGTCTTTATAATGCTGTGTTGATAAATAAAGAAACCAGCAGATTTTTTCAGGCCTTATGATCTTCATTATTAGCAGAATACTCCAACAGCACTAAAAGCACAAGACTAGAATTGGTTTTTGGTAAAAATGACATGGGTGGCACAAGTGTATACTTATATCTATCAGCAGCGTGGAAAAAATGTGAAACAATGCTGAATGAACAGATAAATTGCACAATCATGTAACAGATTGCTGTTGCCTTGCCCTTTGCACCTCTGTCTTTCCAGCGGTGTCCCCATTAATCCACCTGCTTTAAATCTCAGTCTAACATCCCTGGCTGTTGAATAGCTACAAAGAGTTATTTTCTTAATAAATCAGCTCACAAGAAAAATGCTGGTGTTTTTCTTCTCAGGAGTAAAATTTACTCTCCAGAATTACACTGGGCCAAGACCTTCTGCCATCCAGCTTCTGTCTATAATGTTCCACGTCTTTTGAAATTCGAAATTTGCCCTTCGTTTGACCTTTAATTATTTCTTCAATCAAAAATGCATGTTCTAGAGCCTCCATGCATTCAGATAACACTCACATGTGCTGCATGTAGTGTTATATTTGAGTTAGCTAACCCTTCTTCTAAGTCACTTTGGAGCTATTTGTAAAACGCTGCTTTGATGAAGCATCATTTTACAAATGTCAGGTGACAGCTCAGAATTATAGTACAATATATGGAGCTGACTTTTTTTTCATCTTCTTGTCAAACTGCATTTTAAATATCAGGAGAATTTATATATCTCAGGAAAGATCCGAACTTTGAAAACTGTGTTCTGCAAGTAAGGCTGTCATTTTCACCAGTATACTCTGATGAATTTCTCTGAAGTTACTTTATTTGTAAAGGTGAGGTGAGTGAGAGTCATTTCTGCTTGTGTTTATATATGTCTTCACCTGGCAGCCTTCCCCGAGCCTTAGTCCAATGTAAATAAACTAATTACTGAATACTTAGTCGCGTGTTTGTGTCCCCTGGGTTGGCCTTGCATTTTTCAGTAGTTGAAGGCTCAGTGCAACCCTTGAGACTTTGAATTTATCTTCTCTGCTTCTTTTTCTTGCTCAGGAGAAGAGATCGGTGTTGGTTGTCTTCTGGATCCTGGCCTTCCTCACTGGAAACACCTTGTACTTGCTTTACACATTCAGCTCTCAGCAGCTGTACAACAGGTGGGCAAAATTTACATCGTGCATGATAGAAGCAGGTGATAATTGCCAGGGAGGAAAAGAGAGAAGCCTGCTTTTCCCCACACTTTGGGAGGAAGTGTGCATACTTAAGGTATCTGCTGTCTTTGTTCCATCTTTGTAATACCTTTCAAAGGAGGAAAAGAATGCGTGCATCACTTCTAGCAGTGGACTGTGCTCGTGTCAATAAATGACATCACCAGGGTCTAAATGGGCCAGAGTGTGATGCAACACTACAGTGTTGCTGCCTGAAACATGTACACTTGCAGTTTTCTTATGTATTGAAGCAGGGTGGATACTTTTTTATAGTGAGACTTCCAAATTTCCATTTCGACTGCTGTGACTGAACGTAAAGAACAGATAAGAAATTGACCCACTGATTTTCCTCTTCCTAGAATGTTTTCTTTTCTCTTCAGTCTCTCAAGCTTTGAGTCTATTACAGGAGATAAACTGGAGATGAAATAGTAGTGTTTTACTTTAGCGTCCTCAGGGCTTGGAGCCGTTTGGATCTGAGGTAGTTACGACAGTCTCCTCTTTCAAATTCTGACTAAAGCAGTTCTCAAATACAGAAAAGTTAGTATCCAAGCATTTGGTTCAGTACCATCCCTGCGTATTATAAAGCAGGGGTTAAACAACAGATAAGAAGCAAAGATCATAGAATCACAGAACGGTTTGGGTTGGAAGGGACCTTCAAGACCATCCAGTTCCAACCCCCCTGCCATGGGCACGGACACCTTCCACTACACCAGGTTGCCCAAAGCCCCATCCAACCTGGCCTTGAACATCCTGGCCAAGGATGAGACAGCCACAGCTTCTCTGGGCAACCTGTTCCAGTGCCTCACCACCCTCAGAGTGAAAAATTTCTTCCTTAGATCTAAAGGAAATCTCCCCTCTTTCAGTTTAAAGCCATTGCCCCCGTGTCCTATCACTACACGCCCTTGTCCAAAGCCCCTCTCCAGCTTTCCTGTAGGCCCTTTAGGCCCTGGAAGATACAGAACTTAAGCAAGGGGATATTAGTACAGTAAATAGGAAGAAACAGAGCAATATCAAACCTAGCTACTTGAGAAAGTAGTTTTGATATCAGTGGCTTGAACTGTGAGTTATCTTCCCAGTGAAAATTTTATTTGTCCCACTGAAGGAGACTTAGAACTTCAGACTGAAAATATGGTGTAACATGCATCGGTTGGGTTATGCCTAGATGGCTCTGGGGAGTGTTTCTTCTGTAATTTATTTCATTGCTTCCCTGCTTCTTCTCACCAATACTGTCCATGCAGTGGAAGAGTCAAGGTCTGCCCAAAGCCCCGGTATCCTTTGGAATTGCCCCTAATGTATTTGGGTTTGATCATTGGAAAGCTGTGTGTGTAAATGCTGCTGTAAAGGGGGAGACATGAGAAGGCTTTTGTGTGTGGGTCGGAATGAGAGATGGCAAGCCACGGGATACTCTCTATAGGACTTGTGGGAGCGAGTGGAAGAGAAGAAACAGGTATGGCCTAAAGGTGTGAAAGCATTAAAAAGAAATTTGTTTGCACCACAGGGAAACAGCGTGTCTCTAAGGAGAAGGTTAAAAGTTAAAAGCATGAATGGGACTTGTTTAAAATGAAGGATAGATCATCTAAAATGAAAGGGTTTCAGCAAATTGGGGCCATCCTACACACTGTTCAGGGCTTGGTTTGTTAACAGTGAGCAGACTGGGCAGGGGCTTCGCTGAACAGCCCTGTTCCTGCGAGCGTTGTGGTGGTGGCTGCTAGGTCATGCTTGGGCCAGTGTATCTATTGCTTGGTGTGTGGAGACCTGTAACTATTCATGAGGCAGGCCTGTGAAATAAGCAATAGCTGCTTTGGGTTTCTTTCTTTCTGGCTTATTTTTCATTTCTAAATTTATTTGCTTTTTGCTTGTTTCTAGTGCATGAATAGTAGTAAAGTCTCTGATTCTGTTTCTGTTTTTAGGGTGTAATTTTACCTGTTGTGCTGTGCCAATGTTGTGAGTATTTTAAATTCATGTTCAGGCTTTACATTCTGGGTTTATTGTTGTTTTGAGTTTTTTTGCCTTTTTTTTTTTTTTTGCTTTCTACCATGAGGATTTAGTAGGTAAATATCCTGAAGAGGAATCTTGTTTTTTCAGTCTGAGTAGGGTCCAGTCCTCATTGCTGCTCAGGTCAGTAGCTCCTGCCCATTGCTATATGAAGTTCTGCTGTCCTGGTCTCCCCTTCTTTAAGGAGCAAATGTTCAGCCCAGTCAATAACATTATGTAAGGGGAACTACCTTTTTGGATCTTTGTTTCAGGTAAGAGTTGCTAATTAGCACAGCCCAGCTCTTGGTTGTCTTCTGACAGTGGCAAGTTACTGTCAGAGCTTAACATGCCTGAAGTTCTGACCTTTCTGCCATGTCTTTCTGCCTTTGCCATGTGTCACCAGTTTGTTTCTGATGCACAAGTAGCTTTAGAGACTGCTGTCCCTGCAGTAGTTCTACCTGTGGCAAGCCAGCCTCAGAGGAGTAAGACATAGCGGTCTTGACTTGGCCATGACTTCCTCAAGGAATCATAACTACTGATGACTTGGACTTCAAAGGATAAGCTTTTACAACGAGATCTGATAGAGCAAGCCTGTGGACTAAAGGCACTGTCATTAGACCAAAGGCTTTTTTACAGCGTCGATTGCAGTTTATGGAGATTGCAGTCTTCCAAAACAGTTTCTGTACTGTTTTTTGACAGTGGGCAAACCTGCTGACCTCAGTAGAAATGGACAGGTCAGTAGGCCCAGAGGAACCGTGAGACTAATTTGCATGTCTTATTCCTATTGACCTTGAGAACATCACTGAAGCTCAGTGGCGTTTCTAGGCTCTCTCTAGCCAGCAGTGGATGTAGCTGGCATCAAGAAGCTTAAGTGAGGTTCTCCTCATCGGTGTTTGAGCCTTGTTGTCATGCCTTTCAGCCTTATATTTCTGAAACCCAACCTTGAGAGGCTGGACTTCTTTGATCTCATGTGGATTGTGGGGACTGCAGACTTTGTGCTGAAGTACCTCACCATAGCATTGAAATGCCTGATTGTTGCCCTGCCTAAGATCATCCTAGCTGTCAAGTCAAAGGTAAGTCTCTTTTCTTCTTGACATATGCATGTTTCTCTAATCTAATACCTTTACAACATGTTTGCAGCATGAAATTTGAATGGAAGAAGAAAAATAATAAAATCTCTGATTAAACTTTGGCAGAAAGCCACCCAGGTAGTGAGTTTTGGTTTTTGAGCCATTGCAGGCCTGAAGGGTTTGGTAATGCCAGCAAATAACTGAAATCAGGGGGGAAGGTGCACGGTGAATATTGCTTGAGAAGGAATGGGTACTAGCGGTGAGATAACTTTTTTCCTGGTTTACTTTGTTCTAAGTCTTGTTTTCTGAGCAATCTCTGTAAAAAGATGTTTCTGAAGCACAAATCTCTTAATTCAATGGAAAGAAATTGAGAGTACTTGTCTCTTCAGCTTTCCACTTGGGTCAAAAAAGTAACAGTATTAAATTGAAGCTACTGATGCCACAAAAAACAGCCGCAGTTCTAACCATGGGTGAAGAAATATTTGAACATACTTAAATGTTTATAAAATCGTATGTAGACTAAGCCTAACTATTGAAACTTTCTCACTATAGTCTCTTGAAATAGCTTTTCCTGTGTTTTTGCTCTTACAGATCTTATGCTGCTCCTTCCTCCACCTAGTAGTGTCCATGTTTCAGTGGCAAATGTGTAAATGTGTATTATTTGCATCTGGTAAAGAAACTTTCTGGTAGCTAAAGGGATGAAAGACACTGTATAGATGCAAGATCTTATCATTAATCGCTGCAAATCTCAGGCAGGGCACTTAAGGGGATATCTAAACTGGGAATAGTTTTGCTTACAAATGACATGGGTGGCAGGGGAGATGAGCAGTTTGTTCCTGCACAGCAGGGCTATTTGAAATGGTTATTAATTTATTTCTGGCCATTGTCCAGCTCTTTTTTTTTTTTCCTGCTTCTATTATTATTATTTTATTTTGGGAGATTAATGTGCTAGGTCAGAGCATAATCCAGCCTGGGGAGGGAGGGAAAAGTGATGTGAATAGTCTTCCCAAGATAAATTGCAGTGTTGGAAAAGGTTCACAGCCTTTGCTTGCTTGTCTGAGAGCTATCCCAAGTACTCATTAATCCTTGTCGGGAGAGAAGAAAGAGAAGGAGTCTTTATTTGCAGCTACAGGGGGAGGCTGGTAAGATCACATCTGTCAAGGGCCTATAATGACTCAGAGCACAGATGCTTCATTTTTAATACCTTTTTCTGGATAGCAATATTTCTCACTTTTTTAAAGTCTGTTTTTTGTCTTAGGATGTTGTTGATCGTCTCACTGTCCCTTGACATCTGAGACTGCTGTTACCTACCACTGTGGATCTGGGTTTTTTTAATCCTCCTCTCTACACTACATCCATTAAGCCAACCAGGGATGAGATCTAGTGTAACAAATTAAACAAGATCAAACTGGGATGGGAGAGCTCCAAGAGAACCCCAGGATGCCATAGAAAT